TACATTCTTCTCTCTTTCAGGATTTTTCATAGAGGTGCACAGAGAGAAATGAAAGAGAAAACAATTTCTATTTCTGCTCCTTGTTTTCCCATGTGGAATGTGTTTGGAGAATTGTTTACCTGGGGTGATTGCTTGATTGGATTCTGGTGAGGATTGTGTTGAGCCTGATGGCCAATCCAACCCACCTGGGGCTGGACTCTCAGAGAGGGTCAGGAGTTGTGAGTTAGATATGGTAGTTAGAAAAAGTAGGTTTGTAGTTTTGGTATCTCCTTTATATAGTATATTAATGTATTATAGTATAGTTACAATAAAGAAATCATTCAGCCTTCTGAACTGGAGTCAGACATTGTCATTTCTTCCCACTGGGTTCACCTGCATTTACAATAGTAGGAGACAAAATAATCAGTCCTTAAGGAGAAAGAAAATAAAGGAATCAGTGTAATGGAGGAAAAAGAGAAAGTGGCCTGAGGAGTAACCCAGCCCCAACACCATCAAAATCTGAGCAGCCAGGATCAGAGGGAATAGCTCAAGCAGAGAGACTCTTCCAGGTTCAACAGCACTTAGAAACCCAGCAGTGTCAAAAGGCTTCAGTGGGAGGAGCTTGGACCACTCCTAATTATCAGATGAAAAGCACTCCTTTTTAGCAGACATTTAGTGGGATTTTTACCAATAAGAATGAAAACACCTGCCATCACAGGGTCTAGTCAGTCAAGATTTCAGGACACACATTTTCAAGGATTTCTTCTCCAGTGACTGCAACTGTTACCTCAGACTTCAGAGTTAAGGGCTCCAGCAAAAACAAACTAGAATTTATTTTAAAGTGCTTGAATATAACTCCCTTTGGGTTTATGTAATCTGCATTGCTGAAACCAAACATTCATTTATTTAATTTCTATTTAAACTCCTGTTGGAGAGAAAAATATTGGTCAAAGCCTGCTTCTTCCCCCAGCAGTCCTTGCACACACTCAGACCTTATCCCCATGAAAGGGGTAGGCAATGTCATCCCACAAAAGGCAGGAACAGTGGTCAGGAACTGGGTTAGTGACACAGGGTTGTGCCAGCAGTGACATTTCAGCACTATTAGAACAACATTGAAAAACAGACCAGTGTCTGAATGAGCCTGTTGTGAGAATGAGCATTTTCAGTGTGTTCCGTAGCAGGAAATATTGTATCTGCTATAAAAACAGCAGCTTCTAGAAATGATTAAACTCTTGAGCTTCTTTTTGGCAATTAACAAGCTTTGAACATTGTTTACAGTGTTGGTTGTATAGCATCATTGCTTTTATCCTCCAGAGTAGCAACAAAGATTCCACTTTAATTAAATCCCATTTTCTTTTCCTCTACATCACTCTTAAAGTATGGCATGTGAAAAAATATTCGTTCTAGTAATAATTACCTAGGCCAATGTAAAGTTCAGCATCAGTTTGTAGGAAGAAATGGCTATTTATTTCCTGGTTATCATTAAGAGAAAAGCTGAAAACATCCAGATGAGTGACTACAGCACTACAGTGAGTAGAATTTGGGGAAAGCTGTTCCAAAACTGTCTCTGAGTAAAAATAAGGCCTGATCTGCATGGGGTGAGTTCATTCTTCAGCACAGCATGAGTTAAGAGGGATGACTCCCCCTTAGAAGCATCCAAGGCCGGGTTGGATGGGGTCCTGATCAGCCTGGTCTAGTGAAGTTGTGCCTGCCCATGGCAGGGGGTTGGAACCAGGGAATCCTTTCCAACCTAAAACATTCCATGACTCCATGGTGATTTCTTCACTGCCTGAACATGAGCACAACCCTTTGGGCACCAACACAGCAGCACCCACATGGAGGAACCTGCCCAGCTGTGCTCTTTGATCAGGTGAAGTGTTCATACCTGGAGCTGTTGCCATCCTGGACAATTAAATCCAGTCTGGGGACACCCACAGACATATCTTCCAGTCTAGACATTGCCTCTGTTTTGACAAATCTCATTTTCTTCTTTATGCTAACACAGGGCAATTCCTGATTTTCCTAAATCCTACTCCATTCCCACATTTCAATACATGAATTAGTTACTTGTGAAACAATGAGTAATTTTATTTTTCACGGGTGAATGCTTAACGCTCACATAGAAAAACAGGCTGGAGCATATACTGCAAGGAAAAAAGCCAAATGTTTCAAAAAATCAATCAAAACCTACAAAAAACACTAAGAAGGAGGTGTGACTAAGACAACAGGCAGAGATTCAAGCCCTCAGCTTCCTGCTCTCAATGCCTGATGACACCAAGCGTGTCATTTGTCATGCTGTGTCTGGGTCCCCATCTCTAAAATGAACACAACAGGCACTAAGACACCTCAAGTGGATGTGGGGAGGTTATTTTGAAACCTGCTTCCTTTTCCACTGGTTTCCATAGAAAATTATCATCTTCCTCTGCTAACAGCGCTCATTTTGGTAAGACAAACAAGCTTGGGGCAAACCAAGAAAATGTAGATAACTGGGGTTTTTCCATGCATAAAAAGCAGAGGGTGTGGGGTGTGGGGGGAAAAGGCAGCAGCAAATCCAGCAGGGAGTTCAGGGAAAAACATATTTGGTGCAGCCATCCCTGCCTGGCACGTGAGGAGTGGGAAACCTCTCACACCTTCCTGCTCATCTGCATTCCCTCCCTGTCTGGCACTGGCTTTCCTCACCCCAGAGGAGCTGCTGGCAGCTTGGAGCTCCCACAACTCCCCTGCACAACATGTTCCTCATCTCCTTCCACACCCCAGTGGTGCCAGTGGGACGTTCCTGATTTTAACAGTCACTGCTGTGGGTCAGTCCTTCCCCAGAAAGAAGCACCTGAGGGTTCACATCCATCGGAATTTCTCTCCTTTCCATGAGCAGAGCCTTCCTTCAGCCATCCACAGATTATACATCCAGCCAAAACTACTCAGAGTTACTCGCTGCTGTATGGGAAGGGCAGCTCAACTCACCTGACACAGAGAGAACAGCTTTAATGTGGGATGAACAGTCCTTTAGGAAAACTTCCTTCCCCTGGCTGGAGGTTAATTTAAGGCTGTGTTTAATGCAGGTGATGTGGAATGTGAAAGGATTTTTTTGGCCCTGTATATATTACCCTTTTTGGATCTAGGGGTACAGCATATTTTGGCTTTAAACTGAGAGAGGGAAAGTTTGGAATTGGACATTAAGAAGAAATTGTTCCCTGGGAGCAAGGGGTGGCACAGGGTGACCAGAGAAGCTGTGGCTGATCCCTAGAAGTGTCCAAGGCCAGGTTGGATGGGGAAATAAGTAAAAGATTCTTCTTTTAAATGTACAAAACTGGGTAGTTAAAGGCTAAATTTTGATAGCACATTATGGCAGCCACACAGGGGAAACAGGGGCCTTGAGCTTTGGTGGAAGGGCACTAAAGCACATTTAACTCACACACAAGGAAGAAGCAGCAGAAAGACAATTCCTACTCTGAACAGAGCATCTGCTAAGGAAGCAAGAACCTGAGAGCAGCTGGATTTAGTACAGCTATTGGCCATCTAAACAATCTATTCAAGCAGCACATTCATGGAGACCTTGGGAGGTATATCTATGTCCTGTCTGTCCATCTGCATTTCCTCTCAGATCTTGCTTCATTTTCATTTCAAAGGATTTAGGAAATTTACCCATCAACAGCTCGATAGCAGTAAATCCACAGTGGAATATTCTAACTAGAGCTAAACCCAGTAATGTGCCACACTGTTCATTTAGTATGGCAAGTATATGCCATGACAACGCTGATTAATTCGCATTTTAATAATATCTATTTTAAAATATATGTAATAGACATTAGAAGTATCTCTGATACAGATTCCCAGGGCAAGCAAGCATTTTAGAGGCAAAGGACCTCCAAGACAGCCAAACATCCAAGCATTTAGCTTGCAGTTTAGATCACAAACTCAGCTACTGATGGTTTGAATTCTCTGAGCTTTTCCTCTGCCACTGCTCATTGCCAACAGGAGACAAGGGGACTTTGCAAATTGTCCCCTTTGGTAGCCCTGGTGTGTGTGCCACGTGTCAGGACACTGCCACGCTCCCGTGGCTGCACAGCACATCCCCTCTCTGGCATTTAACTCCAGCAGGAACCACCTGAATCCATCTGCTCTAAACGAGAGCTGACATTTCCATGGAACCAAATAAACCCAGGGATGGCAGATGGTGTGTGCGTGTGCAGGGAGGGAGGCGCAGAAAGGAGAGCGTGGGTTAAAAAAAGGACCTGCCCCAAATACAGCCTGAACTACAATGAAATGCAGGGGAAGGGGAAGAATACTTTGCCAAAGGCATGGGGAGAACACTGGGTATAATCAGTTGGATTAGGGGGCAGCTCTGTGGATCCAGAAAGCAGCAAGGGAATCTGAGGTGGAGTGCACGAGGATCATGCACTTGGTGGCTCACAGCCATGAGAGCAAATGTGCATGAGTGGTGCCCTCTCAAATATCTCCAGAAGATTTGCAGCAAAGCCTTCAGCAGGACACATTACAGCTGGTCAGCCCAGAGGCAGCAGTGACCAGGTGAGGGGGAAGCTGACCTCAGACTCGTGGTCCTCCTCTGCTTCTGTTCAAATGCACGCTCACACGTAAGCAGATGAAGCCCACTGTCTGCCCTAATGCCCAGGCTATGCCCCAAACCACTGACAAAGAGCCCAGTGGTTATGTTGAGGTTTTTTGGAATGTGTTACACAACCACAGCACATCCATCAGTGTCTTGGAGATCACCATAGAAACAGGCTGACAGGTCGGTGCAGGAGGAAGAATCCTTCATTTCAGCCTGGAGAAGATGCTGATGTGCCTGGTCCAACACACAGAGCTCCCTCCCTCCCTCCCTCCCTCTCTTGTAGCACCTGGACTCCTGGGGCCCATCCCCTCTCCCCTTTTGGCCACAGGAGTGCAGGGAGGGTTTCCTGCTCTCTGGAGCGACACAGAAGACACCAAACCATTTTCTACCAAAGCAAATGACACATTGAGGCTCTATTCCAAATAAAAGAGCAAAAAATGAAAATAGCTACCTGGATATTTCTGCATGAAAAAACTCTGCTCCAACTCTTTGAAGGACACCCAGAGCATGTGAATGCTCAGTGGTTGCTGCCATCACCCCATTTTGGTGCTGCCTCGTTCCTCTTTCAGTGACCTGGGACATGAGAATACAGAGAAATCACATAAGCTACGAGGCCTGAGGCCAGAATTGCTCTGCTGGAGGGGAAAAAGGGGTTAAAGAAAGGCTTAGTGTTATTTGAAGGGACATGCACTCACCAGGCTCCTCCTACAGCTCCTCCATTTCTCTGATTTTGGAGTTGAACTAATTTTCCACGGGCTTCATTCCTTTCTGAAGCATCTTCCTAGACAAGTGCCCACTTCTCAGTGGACCTCACATCATTTGAAGTAGGAATTACATGTGTTTCCACATAGTTCTTCAAATGAATGTGCAACAAATGGATTGATTGAATTAATAATTCATAAATGCTAATTGTACTTGAGTGAAAAAGTGTTCAACCATTACTCTGTTCATTGACCTGAAAACATATCCCTCAGTTTAAAGTATTTCTCTAAATTTTGGTCTGATGACAGCAAATCTTTTAATCACTCTCTTGTAATTTTGTGACTTCAATTTAAAACCATTGCAATCCTATAAAAAGAATTGACATTTAGTCAAACAAAATGATTAATTTCTTTGCACTGCAGTAAGCACTCAGATGCTCACTTTATCTCAAGCTTAAAAAGTTAGCCAAAGCTTGCCCTGAACTGAATTAATTTTAAATATGCATTTACTCAGTAATTATGGCTCAGTAAAATTTAAACTCCAAGGAAATACAGAAATATTTTAATGTGTGATACTAAAAACTAAACCGCTTCATTTTGTTTCATGTTATTTTCCATGTTTCCATGTGCAGCCACAAGATCAGCTGAATTCCATATCCCATTGCTCTCCTTGAAATGTTTATTCTCTATATTCAGCTTTGTAGTCCCAAATTTAAGGACAATTTAGGATAATTATTAATCCACAGAATTATCTAGAAAAAAGGTTCACAGAATCCTTCGGCTTTTTTTCCCACATCCTCCTGTTCTATCCTATGATTATTCCTCTTGGCTGTTAGGAAAAATTCCTTCTCCAGAGGTTTTTCCAGCACTGGAACAGGCTGCAGTGGAGGAGCCACTGTCCCTGGGGAGATTTTAAAGACCTTTACAGGTGGCACTTGGGTACCTGGTTTAGAGGGGGCCTTGGCAGTGCAGGGGGAGGTGGATTTGTCCTTCCCAACCTCATGGACTCTGTAATTCCCTGCTCATTTGGGATATTCCCCAATTATTCCCACTTAATGATGCATCAATTCTATCATGCAAATACAGCAATGTTATTTATATACACATTTTTCTATTTTTGACTTCTTTTAGTGAATTAAAGTTGCTCAGGGCAGCATGCTGAGACCTAGGTGTCAAACAGCAAGTTTTTGTGGAAATGTTTCCTTCTGCCATGGCTTTAGTGGGAGAAATATAGGGGAAATCACAAAATGAGGAGATAATTTTCAGTATTTTTATGACAATCCGTAACTGCAAAAGAAGAACTCTAATTCTGGCTTAATTAAGCTGCACAGTGTCGTTTTCCCCAGTGCAAACATTCCCCTTTGCTCTTGATCACCCATCAGTGCTCACCAGCCTTTGTTCAGTGGGATATTTTACTCTTTTAGCACGTGGGAATTTGGGGAGAGAGGCTGGGTTCACCTCTGAGTTTGGGGTTACTGCTGATGTGTGATGCAGAGTCAGTGTGAAGTTTCCTAGTGAATTCACTGCTCTTTATTCCCAGCTGCCATGGAAATAGAAACCAAGCTGAAGTAGGGGAAAATCATCTCCTCACATTAACTGAAGGAAACGTTCCTCAGGAAGGGACAAAAGACAATCTGCTCCAATTAAGAAAACAGTAACAGTAAAGTCCAACTAGCACATAAATCCTACAGGAGCAAAAGGCCATCCTCCATAAACACAGTCAGAAAAATGATTTTTGCTTTTTGCCCTGAGATATTTGTAATGTCAAACAAAATAAAGCAGGCCCATGAATAGGACACTGTTCTGGTCATTGTTTCAGCTCAAGGAATAAATGCATTTTTGACATGACAAAACACTTGGAACCACATTACTCATGTGGAAGATCTCTGAGAAACAAACTCCTTTTTGGAGGGGATGGAGATGTAGAAAAAGTGACAACAGGATGAAAGTGGGGAGCTGTTGGAATAATTCAGTAGTAACAACAATTTGTGGGGTTTTTTTTCCTTCTTTCTGTAGTGGAAACTTATTTGCTGATACTTGTGGCAAGCATCTTATCTCCAATTCATTCTACTCCATCCTGCATTCAGCTATGTTCAATTTGATCCCCTCTATACAGACATGACTGTGCCTATTATTGCTGGGCACAAAAACCCCACCAGCCTTTGCCAAAATCCAGCAACAACACTCAGCTGGAATGTTCAGCTCTCACCCTGACTGGCTTCCAGCTTCGTGAGCTGGCTGTGTGTGCTCTAATGAAATATTCCTTCCATTTCACTTTCTCTATCTGCCATCAATTACACTGAATTATGACAGATTCCTGTAATCCAGGCTGATTTTTTTTCTTTGTTTCTTCCCGTTTAAGAAAGATCTTACAAAGGAGTGCTCCAAAAACATAGCATTAGCCTTGGTGTCCTCTGCCTCTTTGCAGAATTATTTCTGTATTTTTTATTACTGTGGAATTCACGTTCCAAACACAGGCTCATGACTGTCACTGACAATAAAATCTTAACTTTCTCTGCATTGCTTTCCATTCCCTAATGAGTTGAAGATGTAATTTTTGCTTTTTCCTACTGTTGATGTGTTCTGGAGAGATTTTCACTTTGCTGACTTATCAGTGACAACAAGAATTTCTTTTTCTCAGAGGAAGGGGAAAGTTTAAAGCTCAGCAGCATGAGAGGTTTGTATTGTTGTTATAAGCACACATTAGCTTCAAATTTATGCAAGCTGAATCTCATATGACAAGTCTTCCAAATTAATCTGGACTCTCACCATCCCATGTGGTTTGCACAAACTGAAAAGTTTATGGGCCAAACTGTTGAAAAATGCCTCTGGATTTGTTTTCAGCGCTGGCACATGCAAAAAGGGATGTGCAGACACCAAATCTTTTGTTTCAAAGTCAGCACACCCACTAAACTAAACCTGCTTCTGTGTGTGAGAGTTGTGAGATGCCACAGAGCTTCACCCTGGCAGGGGCTGAGCCTCCCTCAAACCTGGCAGCACTCTCCAAACACAAATGTCCCACCAAGGGCAGGGGACAATGACATTAAAGCAATTGCCCAGTGCCATCAGCAGGCTGTCTCACAGATTCTGGCTGAAGGAACTCTTTCTGGAAAGCTTTTGTTTTCTCAGTGGTAGTGGATACATCTCTGTCACTCCAGGTGTGAGCACAACACCACAGCCCCTCCACCTTCAACTGATTTATGAAATCACAGAATCTTTGGGGCTGGAAAACACCTCTAAGATCCTACACTCCAGCCATCAATCAAGTATCACCATCATGTTCATCGTTAGAAATGTCCCCAAATGCCACATCCACACATATATTGAATACTTCCAGGGATGGGGACTCTCACCTGGCTACTCATTTGGTGAGGAAATATTTCCAAATATCCAAGCTGAGCCTCCCCTGGCCCAGCTTGAGGCTGTTTCCCCTTGTCCTGTCCCTGTTCCCTGGCAGCAGAGCCCGACCCCCCCTGGCTGTCCCCTCCTGGCAGGAGCTGTGCAGAGCCACAAGGTCCCCCCTGAGCCTCCTTTGCTCCAGGCTGAGCCCCTTCCCAGCTCCCTCAGCCGCTCCTGGGGCTCCAGCCCCTTCCCAGCTCCCTTCCCTGCCCTGGCCACGCTCCAGCCCCTGCAGGGCCCAGACTGGACACAGCCCTGGGGTCCCTCAGCAGGGCCAGCCCGGGGCACAGACCCTGCCCTGGCCCGTGGCCACCCCATGGCTGGCACAGCCCGGGGCCATTGGCCTCGTGCCCCCCTGGGCACCCCTGGGCTCCTGCCCAGAGTCCCCAGCATTGTCCCTGTCCCTGCTAGAGGCTGTTTGAGCAGCCTCTCATTCGGGTCCCAAGAGGAGGATCCCAGACTCTGTTCAGTTCAGAGACAGCCCAAGGAGCAATCTCCATAAATTAAAAGCAAGAAGTTCCATCTCTACATGAGGAGAAACTTCCTTATGCTGAGGGTGGCAGAGCCCCACAGCAGCTGCCCAGGGAGGTCCTGGAGTGTCCCTCTGTGGCGACAACCCAAACCCTCCTGGCCACATTCCTGTGCCACCTGCTCCAGGTGACCCTGACGTGGCAGGGGGTTTGAACGGAACAATCTCCAGAGATCCCTTCCAGCCCCAGCTGGTCTGTGATTCTGTAACCTCTCCACGATTCCTGGGCAAATCAAGGTTTTAGTTTAGTTACAGATCACTCCCAAAGGATGGTTTGGGCAGGAATAAGGGAGGTTGAACTCCTCCTGCCCTGCACAGATCTCCAGCTCAGCAGAACCACAGCACAGGCAGAGAGAGCCCTTGGCACTGTGCTGTAAGAATGCTCTGAAAACTCCAACATCTTCCTTGCAGTGTTACAGACACTGAGCTGAAATTCTTAAAATAATAATTATTGTTACCTTGGAACCACCAGGGGAGAGCCAGGGTAGAATTCAGTGCAGCATGAACAGGGACAATTTGCTCCAGAGGCTTCTTCCCCTGCACAGAGCTAAACCAGCTCCTGATTCAGGAATCAGTTCCTCATCCATTGTAATTTGCTACATTCAGCATCTGCACAGAAACCATTTTTAAAAAATTTTAAAAGACTGCTGTTTGATAAAACATCTTTTAAAAATATAATTTTTCTGTGATCAAGAAATAATCTGAGTAATTCCTTCAGAAATTCTTTTAAGACTGAAACTAGAATTTGACAATGACTCAAATGAATGTATTTTGACATTTATAAAAGTGATCAGCATTTATCTCTTGATATACATTAGAGATACAAGAATTCTTTGAAAAAGAAGGTTTGTCTTTTGATATACAGGAAAGTTGCAGTCCTCTTTTAAATTGCAGTAT